CGCTTGGGACCGAAGCGAGCCTTGCGGAGCTCGGAGGCCTGGAACCCCACAACCTTGCCCTCGTCCTTGCCGTCGACGCAGCGCTCGTCCTTCAGCACCTCTCCCTCGTCCTCGCAGCAATAAGTCACGAGCTCCAGCACCATCTCCTGCGGGAGCCCACATAGACAACTGCATTTGCGACCAGATCCCCTCCGGCCCCTCGGTCTGCCCTGCACGCCCCCCCCCCTCCCCCTCGAGCTCATCATTCGGCTGTTCCCGCCGAATCACAGCGTCCATTCTCTGCCTGCCCTCCGCCTCCTTCTCTGCCTCCTCCTCCAATCTCCCCTTGGCACTCTGTCTTCATGCTGTCCCTGACCCTCCCTCTTTCACGCCCTTCCTCCCCCCTGAACCCGCGTGAGCCCTGCGGCTCCATCCCGTGATCGTCATCGTCGTCGTCGTCGTCGTCGTCGTCCTGGGCCTCACCTCCGCGCCTCCATCTCCGCGTCTGCCCCCTCCGCCTCCACCCGCCTGCACCGCTGCCGCCGCATCCACTTCAGTCCACCCCCGCCCCCCATCACCTGCTGCGACCCTGCGCTTCGGTCGGGCGTGCCCCCCTACAGGCAAATTTTGGAGGAAGCATAAACTATGCCAGCGGAGTTCCCCACATAAGGATGTTGAGGGTTCCGTGGGACCAGTGAGGCAAAATAAGAGCAGTGTGGATGGAAGGGCCATCGAACAAGTGCATGCGAAAGAAGCAGCAGACAATGGCAAGGAGGGGGAGCAGCAGGGAGAAGCCGACGGCTGTTCAGGAAGCACGTTCGTCCCTGGAGGGGAGGGGCACGAAATCAGATAAATAGCATGGTTTTCGAATACCTTCCTCGCTCAGGCGAGGCCTCCCCAGAGGAGTGGGAGGGGCATGACACCTGATGAATAACATGGCTGGAGGAGTGGGAGGGGCATGACACATTAGAAAGAGCATGGTGTTCGAATACCCTCCTCGCTCAGGCGGGGCCTCCCAGGAGGAGTGGGAGGGTAACACAACCTGATACATAGCATGGTTTTTGAATACCCTCCTTGCTCAGGCGGGGCCTCCCAGGAGGAGTGGGAGGGGCACGAAAAATGATACATTACATGGGTGTCGAATACCCTCCTCGCTCAGGCGGGGCCTCCCTGGAGGAGTGGGAGGGGCACGAAACCTGATACACACGATTGGTTTCGAATACCCTCCTCGCCGGGCGAGGCCTCCCTGGAGGAGTGGGAGGGACACGAAACCTGCTAACTTCCATGGTTGTCGAATACCCTCCTCGCTCAGGCGGGGCCTCCCAAGAGGAGTGGGAGGGGCACGAAACATGATACATTACATGGTTGTCGAATACCCTCCTCCCTCAGGCGGGGCCTCCCTGGAGGAGTGGGAGGTGCACGAAACCTGATAACTTACATTGTTTTCGAATGCCCTCCTCGCTCAGGCGGGGCCTCCCTGGCGGAGTGGGAGGGGGGCGAAACCTTATACAGAATAGTGTTTTCGAATACCCTCCTCGCTCAGGCGGGGCCTCCCAGGAGTAGGAGGGGCACGAAACCTGATAATCAATAATGGTCTCGAATACCCTCCTCGCTCAGGCGGGGCCTCCCAGGAGGAGTGGGAGGGGCACGACACCTGAAAACTTACATGGTTTTCGAATACCCTCCTCGCTCAGGCGGGCCCCCCCCCACCCGGAGGAGTGGGAGGGGCACGAAACCTGATACATAAAATGGTGTTCGAATACCCTCCTTGCTCAGGCGGGGCCTCCCTGGAGGAGTGGGATGGGCACAACAAATGATACATACCATGGTTGTCGATTGCCCTCCTCACTCAGGCGGGGCCTCCCTGGAGGAGTGGGAGGGGCACGAAACCCTATACATAACATTGTTTTCGAATACCTACCTCGCTCAGGCGGGGCCTCCCTGGAGGAGCGTCAGGGGCACTAAACCTGGTAACTTGTACTGTTTTCGAATGCCCTCCTCGCTCAGGCGGGGCCTCCCTGGAGGAGAGGGGGGGGGGACACGAAACCTGATGCATAGTATTGTTTTCGAATACCCTCCGCGCTCTGGCGGGGCCTCCCTGGAAGGGTGGGAGGGGCACGAAACCTTGTAAACACTATGGTATCCCGATCCTGTCCTCGCTCTGGCGTGGCCTCCCTGGAGTGGTAGGTATGATATGGTAGTGTTGGTATGGTAGGTGTGGTATGGTATGGTAGGCATGGTATGGTATGGTACATATGGCATGGCAAGTGGTACAGCATGACATGGCATGGAATTCAGAGTATGGTATGGCAGGTTTGCTATGGTCTGCATGGCAGGTATGGTATGGTAGGTATGGTAGACATGGTATAGTATGGGATGGTATGGTAGGTTTGGTATGGTAGGCATGGTAGGTATGGTGTGGTAGGGCATGGTAGGTATGGTATGTTAGGTGTGATACAGTAGGTATGGTATGGTAGGTAGGTATGGCACTGGCATGGTACGTATTGATATGGTACAGTAGGAGGCGCGAGGAGGAGAAGGAGAAGCAGGAGAAAGAGAGGGTGCTCCAGGATAACAAGAACCCCACTCATGATGTGGGGGACAAGAATAAAAATACCCAACCACGTTCAACAAATGGAAAAAACATCATCCCCTCGCTTCTTGTCGGATGTGTGTGGTTATTCCTCCTGTAGAAGGACATGCCCGACTTAACCCTGCGCATCTCAACCACCAGCACCCCTTCCATCGGCACCTCGTGCTCTTCCCCGCCCTCCACCGCCTCCACCCCCTGGCGATATCCTCCTTGTCCCCGTCGCCCCTCTGCTCCTCCACCCTCGCCGCTCCTCCCTCTCCTGCCCCGCCTCCTCCTCCTCCTCCTGCTCCGTTTCCTCCTCGTCCTTCTCTCTCTCTGCCCTCTGCCCTCGCCCTCCTCGTTCTCCTCGTCCCCCCCCCCGTGTCAGATGACACATGGCACATGGAAGGTCAAGCCGAGCAGAACGCACTAAAGCACGAGCACAGCTCAAAACCGACCTTGCATCAACAAAAACAGAAAGCAGTACTGAGAGAGGCCAAGAGCGCTTCTCTGGGACGCGACGGTGGATGCCTCTGCGCCCGAGGCTGTGAATGCCTCTGTGGGAAGAGACCTGCGACGACCAGGAAGCCACATGCAATCAGCATGGTGCTGATCAGGAAGCCACATACAATCGCGAAGCCACCTTTGCCCTCGCCCCCCCCCTCCAGAATCGCCTAGGCTGACGGCCCAGCGCCCTTACGACAGAAAGGCTGTCGATCGGATGCCTCCTACTCCTTTCTTGACTGCTTCGGGAAAAGCATGGTGAGAAAGGACGAGAAGGATGAGGCATTGAGAATAGGGAGAGGGAGAATGAGAGGGAGGAGGCCTCTAGAAACACCTTGTGGCTGGCATGCAAAAAGAGAGACGCTTGCACGCAAGAGTGGTGCTATACCATGCCTCCCTCACTCACACCATGCGTACACATGCAATAACACATCGACAAACTGCGTACGGACATGGCCTGAAAGTCAGCAACTCAGAATGCTTTCGCGCTGGTGCTAAAACGTTCCTGAACATCATGCAGCACCTGCTCATCTTCAGAAGTGGCCACAAACGAGATTGCTGTCCCTCTGGTGCTGAGACGTCCCGTGCGTCCCACGCGAAGAGGGTACGAGCCACTGTTGACAGGCATGTCGTAGTTGATGACATAGAAGAACTCTGTGATGCTAACGTCATTCCCACATATGTCCGTAGAGATCAAAATTTCTCGCGAGGTATCGGGCCGCAGGAAATCAGTGAAGCAATCCTCTTGGTGAAAGCTCGCATGGATTGAAAGTGTATGGGCACGGAACATTTGAGGGATCTTTGCAAGCGCCAGTGCGCGCTCATCCGAACGCAAAAATACGATAGCCTTGTCGAATGCCAGGCTGTTGAAGATATCAATCAACTTACTGGTCTTCTCTCGCTCCAATAACTTGATGCAGTAGTGCCGCAACCCCGTTCGTTGGGGCTTCGGTGCTGGATGAGGCTCGGTATTGCGGGATCCTGCGGGTTCAACGCCTTCAGCGGCAGGAGGGACCACGGGCACAGCATCCGCAGGATCCAACACGTCAGAAGCATTAGCACAGTCATCGGCACGCTCAGGCCGATTAGACTCAAGTACACCATGCAGAGAAGTAGGATCCACAGCAGATCCCTCCGGAATTGCGTCTCCAGGGGCAGTATAGTCGGACTGATACTGCTGATGGAGGCGGTCGCGATGCTCGTCCGTACCAGGCTCATAATCGGCTTGTTCGGCATGGTAGTCCACAGAAACGTCAACTGCTTGGTGTGCACGCTGTTTTTCACATTCAGGTTGGCCTTCAGCAAACCCTGCTTCAGGTTGAGCAGCTTCAGGACGAGATGCCTGGGCAGTCTGATGATCGAGATCGCGAAGCAGGATCTCCGCCTGCTCGCCCTCAAAAGTCGGCATGAACTGCTCGAAACAATCCGAGCCCCGTGGAACGAAAAATGGGGCCTCGGGATTCCATATGATGCCCTCTTTTCTGCGCTCCAGCCACGGCCCCTCCTGGAGGCTCTTAAGAGCATGCACTGTTGCGCTGGCGATGCTCACGCCAGGAGCATCGGAGTGCAGCGCCGCGCTCCGCCTGAGGACGCTGTCGTGGCTCGGGAGGCGTCCACGCAGCAAATCCTGGAGTGCGGGCGCCAAGGCCAAAAGGCGGTCGGCCAGCTCCGCATCGCCGCCGGCCAGCGCGCCCACGAAGTCGAGCAACTGCGTGTGCTGCTCCCTGATTCGACCAAGCTCTTCCGATAGCTTGGAGACCGCTCTATCTGCTGAGCGAATGGCCCAGAGACGTGCCGCCTTGCGATCTTGCGCCGTTCTCCTCGGCGCGCATTCCGCGCCGTCCCGTATCGCCATTCCGAGCCCGAACAAGTTTGCTTGATCGCGAACTGACTTGAGCCAAAATGGCTGCGGAGCCTCCTACTCGTCCTCCTCATCCTCCTCGCCGTCCTCCTCCTCCTCCTCCTCCTCCTCCTCCTCCTCCTCTGCCCTCGCCCCCCCCCCCACCCTCCCGCTACTCTGCCTCGGGCGCTGCCCTCCCCCTCCTGCCCCCATCCTGTCGTCGCCGCCGTTTCTGCGTCGCTGCACTCCTCGCTCGGCCGGTCGTCGTCGTCGTCCTCGCTGGCGCTTTTGGTCGTCGCCGTCTGTGGCGGCCTGTCTTCCCCTCTGCCTGAAACGCACGCCCTCTCGGGGTGCGCGCTTGGCCAACGGAGAGACCTCCTCCTCCTCCTCCTCTCCTCCTCCTCCTCCTCCTCCTAGTCCTCCTCCTCCTCCTCCTCCTGCTCCTCCCCCTCCTCCTCTTGCTTCTCCAACTCTTGCTCCTCCTCCTCCTTCTACTCTTCCTCCTCCTCCTCCTCCTCCTCCTCCTCCTCCTCCGCTTCCTCCTCCTCCTCCCCTCCTCATCCTCCTCCTCCACCTCCTCTTCTTCGTCCTGCTCCTCCTCCGTCTCCCTCGCATCTTCCTCCTACTCCTCCTCTTCACCCTCCTCCTCCTCTCATCTCCTCCTCCTCCTCTTCCACCTCCTCCCCCTCCTCCTCATCCTCCCCCTCCTCCTCCTCCTCCTCATCCGCCCCACCCCCTTCCTCCCTCCTCCTCCTCCTCCTCCTTCTCCTCCTCCTCCTCCTCCTCCTCCTCCTCTCCTCCTCCTCCTCCTCCTCCTCCTCCTCCTCCCTCCTCCTCCCCCTCCTCCTCCTCTTTTCCCTCCTCCTCCTCCTTGTCCTCCTTGTCCTCCTCCTCCTCCTCCTCCTCCTCCTCCTCCTCCTCCTCCTCCTCTCCCTCCTCCTCTTGCTTATCCTCCCCTCCCTCCTACTCTTCCTCCTCCTCCTCCTCCTCCTCCTCCTCCTCCGTCTCCCTCGCATCTTTCACTGCACCATGGGGCTGGCCCGCATGCCGCTTCCCGAACGCCCCGGCTTTCCAGGGCCGTGCGCTGCTTGCTGCGCGCGCCGATGATGTCCACATACCTCTCCTGCAGGACGGGGGCCAGAACGAGGACAACTTCGGGCGAGGGTACATCGAGAATCTCTGAGCTATGGCGGCTCTGGAGGATGTCTCGGGCGCCGCGGCCTTCCCAGAGCGTTCCCGAACGGAGTTGTCGTCGTCCCAGCCCCGGCCGATCCTGTCTCTCGGGGTCCATGTCGCTCTCGGGCATCGCCATGATCACGGTGCCCGACTTCTGCTGCAGCTCCCTAATCGTGCTGCCGCCGCGCCCGATGACCCTGGCGCAGTCCATGTTCTTGACCCAGACACGCACGTGCGTCTGCTCTTCGCGGGGGGGCCCCTCTCGGCGCTGGTCGACTCTGGGCGCCGAAGGGCTCATGGTCTGCCGCGGGGCCGGGCCATGTCTCTGCCTCTGCCGCCGGCCTCGAGGGGCCTGGTGGGGAAGGGGGACGGGGAAGGAGGAGAGGAGGGCGCCAGCGAGAAGAACGGATGAAGAAGGAGGAGGATGCGGAAGGGTGGGGAGGAGGTGGAGGATCACACGATGGTGTGGGGTGGAGCCGAAAAGATGGAAGAGTAATCATCATCTGACCCCCCTCCCCCGTTCAGTCTTTAAGAGTAGGAGGAGGAGGAGGAGAAACAAAGAAGGATTGGGATGGGGCCGCCCATGGCCAGCTTCTCTGCGAGACGACCCTCCCCCCACAAGAACTGATCAGGAGGCTCGAAACGTGACGCCTTCCAACACCTACGTGATGGGTGCAGGAAGCAGGCAGGCTCTGACCCAGCGAGGGCGCGTGCGAACTGCTGCTAATTGCTCCTGCGTTGTTATCCTGCTCCTTGCTCCTCTGATTCGTGCTACCACTCCTCCTTCCTCCTCCTCCTCCTCCTCCTCCTCCTCCTCCCTCCTCTTCCTCCTGCTCCTCCTCCTCATCACAATAATATTGTTAGTATTATTCTTCCGACATCTCATTTCCCCTCCTCATCCTTCATCCCTCTTTCTCGCTACCAGTCCCCCTGCCAGCTCCTCCTCATCCTCCATCGCCCCTCCCTCGCTGGTCCTCCATCACTCCCCTCTCCTCTACATCCTCCCTCCTTCACCCTCCTCGCCGCCCCTCCCCCTGCTCCCTCGCTGTTTCGACCTCATCCTCTTTACTCCATGCTCCTGCGCCTTCACCTCCTTCCCCCCCTCTCTGTGATCCTCGTCGTGTTCCTCGTCCCTGTTCCATCCTTCCTCTTCCTCCCTCCTCCGTCTCTTCCTCATCTGCCTCCTCTGAGTACCCCCTCCCTCCACCCATTCATCTCCTGCCTCCAGCACATCCCACTCCTCCCTCCTCCTCCCTCCTTTTCCATGGACTCCTCTGCCTTAGTATCTTCCTGCTGCATCTCCTCCGATATATTCCTCCTCCTCATCCTCCTTTTTCTCCTCCTCCTCCACCTCCCTGCCTCCTCCCTTATCCTACCTTCCCTCCCCCCTTTCCTAGTCGTTTCCCCATCCCTCCTCCTTTTGCCCTTGTGTCCTGCGGGGTGTCAGATATAGGCTTGTAAGACTCCGCCTGGACCGCGAGATAAGAGCCAGTGCCGCCTACTGTGCCCATCACTGGGGCCCCTTCCTCTCCGCCCTCCCTCCAAGATCCTCCCTCCACCCCCCTTTCCGCTCCTCCCTCCTTCCCCCTCCCCTCGCCCCGTCGCCCTCATCGCACCCTCCCTCCTGCCATCCTCCCCCCCCTCCCCTCCTCCCTCTTCTTCTCCCCCGCCCCCTCCTCCACCCCCGCGAGGGGTCCACGGGGAACGCGGGCGCGGCTCGAGGGAAGCTGGCCCGGGCCGATGTCCGCGGCCACCCGCGGGCCGCGCGAGACTCCGAGCGCTGCCGCCGGTCGGCGCGCCCTGGTGGCTGCGCCGGGGCGTCCCAGCGCGCCCTCTCCTCCTCGCGCTCCTGGCCCCGAGGGGTATGACATGGAGGGGGGGGGGGAAACAGAAATGGAGCGGGGATGGGGGAGAGGGAGGACAGGAGGCGGGGAGGGGAGACGGGGAGGAGGTCTCGGGGCAACGAGGGGGACGAGGTGGAGGGAAAACGAAAAAGTAAGGATTAGGAGGAGGCGGAGGAGAAGGAGGAGAAAAAGGAGAAGAGGAAAAAGAAAAGGAGGAGGAAGAAAAGGAGACTCGTAACGCAGAGGGCCCGCCCAGGGGCCAGGAACTCTCGACGATGGGGCCGAGCAAATACTGACGAGCGGCGGCTGCGGCGACAGAGCTGCACGACACGAGTGCGAGATGTTGCGAGCGCCAGCTGGGCACTAGCTGACCTGCGTGCTGTGCGATCCATGTTGTTGTCTCCGATACTGCCGCGGCTCCGATCGTGGACGTCGCACCTGCAATTGCACGTGTGGGGAACAACACGACACGACGAAACGTGTCTTCATTCGACTGGGCATGGCGACGAGATCCTGGCGCCAGAGCGGGCCGCAATGGCAGTAGTGTGTCTGGTCGTCCTGCAGTTCAGGGCAGCCAGCCAAACGCGGCGGCGTAGCTACTGGGAGCCTGTACGACGTGGCCCAGGCTTCGCGGGCTGTCCTGGCCGCGGCGCTCTGGACCCCTGGCGGGCACAGGGGCTATTTTTCTTCAGGTTCTGCCATGACCTGTTCGTGCATGAAGCTTCTAGCTCGGCTTTCGGGGTCCATTTGACGAGGCACGCATGGCGGGCGGGAGCAAGGACATCGCGGAACAGGAGAGGGCGCGGGGACCGCGCAATGACGCGTTGAGTGCGGACGCGGGCAGCATGCAATCTATCACTCACTGCAGTGGCCGCGCCATGGCAGGCCTTCCCCATGGCCATCAGGGCTTGCGCGGCGATGGGTTTCACGCACTTCTCCGTAAGGAAGGCGGTGGCAGCGTTCTCGAGGTTGCGCGCGATGGTCGTCGATTGCCAGAACGGGGGCGAGCCGCCCTTTACTGCGGTAGCGCGGCCAATCCTCCTTCATGCTCGGCGTTCGTGAAGCACTCGGGCCCAGCATGGAGGAGAAGCCCATCAGCTCCAAGGGGGGATGCTCACGTCTGACCAGCTTGCGAGGCCAAGGAGGACAGCCCCCGACCAGAAGGTATCATTAAGGCACGTGGAGGGCCTCATGGATGGCCCAGCGCTCCGCGCCGCGGCAGACTTCGGCAGTGATCGGCAAACTGAGCGACGCAGCTCATGACCAGGACGGCGCAAGCAAAGTACATGCGCATAGAAAACGAAGCGCGGGCTCCCGCGCTGGCGAGCTCCGCGACCCCGCGCTTGCACTCCGCGAGCGAGAGTGCCCAGTGCTCGTTGCTCACGGGCGGCACGAGGATCATCCCGAGGTAGTTGGCGCCGTCAGCAATCTCGAGGGCAGCCCGCTCGGCCAGCTGAATCGGCATCGTTGGGCAATGCCAGCGGCGATGCGGAAACCGAAATGCAGGTCTCCCTTCGGCGAGGCGCGGGCGAGCGTCGCGCCGCGAGAGGGCTTTGCGGGCATGGCGAAGACCACTTTCAAGTCCAGCGGTTTCAACTGTGCTCCAGAGCCATGTCTGGTTCATCGACGAGAAGGCGCTGGCGAAGTCGAACATATTCATCGTAGTTTTGCTGCGCTCGGTCGGCGTGGGCATGGCAAGTCAACTCGCCGCCCGTGCCGCGGCGTCTATCTGGGCAACGTTGGCCGCGAGGTGGCGCCCGGAGGATGCAACGCTGGGATCCATGAACCTTCTTCGCCGCAGTCTCGCGGATTATGCGGCCGCTGCTGGTGGCAAGGGTCTTGGTGCCAATGCTATCCTTGACAGCTGCAGCGGGCGCAGTTGGTCCACTGCGCGTCGGGCGACCGCGGCGTCGTCGGTTTCCTCGCCCCTGGGGGTCAACGCTGGGATTGAGTCGCCGAAGCCAGGCGGGATCGGGAAGCCGCCGACCAATTCGCGCATCACTTGCTGGCGGGCGCGCGCGCCATAGTCAGCGCCCCGCGCGGCGCGCGGCATCAGGGCCCGGGGGCAGAGCGGATGGCGGACTTGATGGCCACCTCGACGTCATGTTTGTCCAGGGCGTTGCGGTCTGCGAGGTCGAGGCCCGCGGCGTCGGCGCCCAGGAAGCCCCGGGGCAAGTCGCCGCGCGCTGCCTGTCTGCAATCACGTCGCCCCAATGTTCGCGGATGTGCTTGAGGTTGTCGAACTGGTCGTAGGGGTCGCTGCCTTGGTGGACTATGGGCTGGAGGATCGCTCGGCGTGTGGCGGGGGCCCAAAGACGGGCTCGTCGGGCGCCGGCCTTCTGCAGGCCGTGTAGTCCCGCGCCTTGTTTTTAAACTAGAACCATCGCGCGCTTCGCGCGCGCTCAAGTTCTAGCTAGCTTCTGGGGGCCTCCTCGGAGCATCCTGGACTGCTTCTTGAAGTCGTCATGGGACCTTCTTGGCATGTCTTCGGGGGCCTCTTAGAAAGAGTTTTGAAGCCTTTTGGGTGCCGTCTTGGAGCCTCTTGGAGCCTTTGGGGCTTCTTGGGGGCCTCCTTGGGCCTCTTGGGGGCCTCTTGGGGCCTCTTGGGGGCCTCTTGGGGCCTCTTGGGGGCCTTTTGGAGCCTCTTGGGGGCTTTCTGGGGGCATCTTGGGGCCTCTTGTGGGCATCTCGGGGTGGGGGGCTTGAGTTTTCAGTTCGCGTTCCCTCTCTTGGGCCTCTCTTGGGGCCTTCTTGGGACCCTCTTACGCCGTCTCGGGCGGCTCTTGGGCCGTCTCGGAGCTCTCTCGGGCCGTCTCGGGGCCCTCTTGGGCCGTCTTGGAGCGGTTTGGGGAGCCTCTTGGGCGGTGCTTTAGCGCCGGAAACACGAAACAGCGAGAATGCAAAAAAAACATAAAAAACAATGAAGATCAACGATTTTGCCCCCCTCTCGGGGCGCTCTTCGGCGGCATATCAAAGGCCTGTTGGGACGTCTTGGGGGCCACCGGGCCAATTGAAACGCATCGTGCGTCGACGGAGACCCCTGGGCGTCGTCTTGGGAGTGTCTCGAGACCGCCTGGGGCCGCCGGGATTGCTGTCTGAGGGCCCCCCGGGGCGATTTTTTAGCCTCCCAGAGGCGGGCCCAGGCCCCGGGCCACACGTGCGTGGTCGGGGTCCCGGCCCCCGGCCCCCAGACCCGGTCCCCCGTCATATGTGCACAACAGCGTCGACGCGTCGCCAGACGGCTTCAGCGCGCCCGTTGCGTCATTCATCTCATCGGGAAGCCAAGGCGCGCTCAAAAGCAACGGCGTCGCGGCGGTCGACTCGGCCGTAGCGCGGGCGCAGGCGCGGGCGTTCGCGTGCGAGCGCGTCGCGCAGAGTCTCGGACAGCTCCGCGTCGTTCCTAGGTCACCCCCGTCATGGGACGGAAGATGACAAGCTTGCTCGGCGTGGTCGGGGCCCGCTGATCCACAGGGGCATCCCCCGCGGCGCGAGCGGCCTCTCACGCGAGTTCCTCTCGCGCAGCGGGCGCGCTCGGGGCGGGGGCCCAGCCAGGCGACGCGATGCTCGAATTGTTCAGGCGCAGCGGGGGCAAGTTCACGAGAGCCCCCCCGCAAGAAGCCCAGCCCTGCAACGCGAGGGCGCCCCTGGATTTTGGCGCGGGAGCGTCGCGCCCCCCGTCGCAAACGCTCGACAACCGAGGAACCTGGGGAACCCTGGAGGCAAGCAGGGCGTTTCTCAGCATGGGGTCCCGCTGTGGTGCGCGAACTTCGGGTGCCCGAAGGCGCGGCCTGGCACGCGCTGGCGGTCGGGCTCGGCGGGCCAGCGGGCGGCCGCCCGCGCGCGGATGGACGCGCGGGCGGCGATGCCCAGTTCAAAGGTCGCGGGGGTCCGCGAGCAGGCGCGCGCCCCAGTGCCACGCCGCAGCCAGCCACGAAGGCGTAGAAACAAAGGCGCGGCCAATGCGAGTCGCGCCTGGGCCAGCGGGGCCCTCTGCCGCGCAGCGCGCGGGCGCGCCGTCCCGAGTTTCCACCAACCGAGCCGAGATCGCCCCATCTCCCCGCTGCGTGGCCAGGACGAGCGTCGCTGCAGAGGTCAGCGAGCGAGACGTATCCGTCCACCTGCGGCGCGTGGAGGTGGGGCGCGAGCCTGTCCGAGGAGCTGAATCTGCCCTGCGCGATGGTAGCGGCGCGCTCTGGGGCCACTTGGCAGCGAGCACGGCTTGCATGTCGTCGGTCTTCGGGGACGTTGGAGGGGGCGCGTTTCACGGGCGCTTGCCTTGGGAACATTCGGCGGCGCCTTTGGGCTAGGCCAGCCCCCCCCCCTGGCCCGAACATTCGGCGCCGTCGAACATAACCGGGGGGGCCCCGCTCCCCGCCCCCCCTCCACGACCCCCCCTTCCCAAGCGCGGCCCCCCCTCCACGACCTCCACAACCAGGGGTGGGAGGGAGGCTCGAGGCCCCCCGCCCCAGCCCCCGGCGCCAGCGCGCCGGCGCGCCAGCGCGGGCGGCGGCGGCGGCGGCCGGCAGCGCCGACGGCGGCGAAGATGACCAGGATGAAGACGACGACGACAAGGTCGCATGTGGTA